ATGCGTGAAAATGAATTATTCAGTAAAGATTTAGATCCTTTTTTATTACGACACTGAATTTATAGAGCATACAAAACATAAATGCAGATTTCTCCAGCACCAGAGAGATGAACTTGTTCTCCAGGCAGTGCGAGGGGGATGCAGCCCCTTGGCATCGCTGCACGGCAGAGAGGGGATGTCCCAACAGCCAGAGCACTGGGCTGCAGCCTGGGCAATTAGGACCTGCCCCGAGCTGGGCTGCCAGCCTGCTTGCCTGCCATAGCATCCCCAAACCCCCTAGCTGGTTTAGGAGCCCGAGATCTCTTTGTTTCAGAAATCGGGCTCTCAGCAGCCATGGATCTTCATGGGGGTTTGGGGTCTCACGTCACCTTGACCTTAAAAATGCTGATCTTAACAAACTCTGCATCTCAGTCTCTGATCTGAAACAAGAGTTGCCAGAATTGAAAGGCAATGGGTGAGGCTGAAACCTGCTAATGAGAGGCGGTGCTCCGTGAGTACATGGACAGACGTGGTCTGTCTACAGAGCCACTGTGGAGAATTTGGGCAGGTTGGTACCAATAGCAGTAACTTTCCTTGTTACTGGAATAAATGCTCCAACTTTTAATTGTGCAGCTTGGGAGAACATTACCCCTGACCGGCAGTTACAGATGTCAGCTTCGCAGTTCATTAGCTGCTTCCCGAAGTCCACGGGGAGTTTGGATTTTTAGCACGAACATTAGAGGTCGGAGAGAAGGAGAGCAGAGGGCAAGCCTGCAAACTCTCCTTGGGGTGGAGAAAAGTCTGGGATCAGGGCTGGAACAGCACCTTTGGGGATGGGTGCTGCCACGTGCCAGCCACGGAGCAGGACAGCGGGTCCTGGTTTGTCACCCATGGGCACGGGCACTGAAGGAGCCCCTGGAGCATCCCTGGTGCCATGGGTACGGCTCCCTGACAGCAGCAGGTGCAGAGAAACAGCAAAACTGTCTGAATAGACCGAAACTGGGCACCTGTCTGAACCCAGCCTTGGCTCTGGGAGAGGCCAGAAAGAGAACGCACTGATAAAGTCTTCCCAAAGCCATTTGACCTGTAGTGTTCCCTGATGGAAGGGATAAAAGTGGAGATTTCCTTTTAATGTATAGAAATCCAAATTTCTCTTTGAGCCGTAAGCAGCTGTACTGAAGTTCCCTCTGTCCATCAGCAAGATCTGTCTTGTGCCTGTTCATCCTGGAACCCCTTTAAAATTCTGCACTGCAGCCAGAGAGATTAAAGGGCAGGAACTGCACTCCTGACTAGTAATTTCCCAGTGATTATTATGAGAAATAGCTAAAATCTAAAGGAAGCTCAGAGAGGGGAGAAGAAGACTGTTCTTTAATTCCCCCCCCCTCCATTTCTTTTGCAGGTTGGTGCTGCTCACCCTGCTGGGGCAGGGCCAGGTCAGCCCCTCTCCTGTCTGGAGCAGTTGGGGTGTTCCCTGCCCGCTTGGAGGAGCAGAGCCTGCCCTGCTGCTGAACCAGAGTTCAGCACTTCATGGCAAAGCAAACCCAGTAAAGGGGATTACGTGCCGTTTTACAGGGGTCGGCACAGAGCATGGAGGGGAACGTTTCTCCATTGGGCCTGACCTCCCAGCCCTGCATACATCTGCTGATTCCCACCCCGTTCGTTAGTCCCTGCTGGAAGGTACATCCACATGCTGCCCCCACCCCCAATAAAAATATAATCCCTGAGCTGGAAATAGCTGGCCACCCCAAAATAGCTCTTGCAGGCACGGCCGCTGAGCCAGGGCTTCGGTTGGGAGGCACTCGGTCCCGGGTGAGCGGAGATACTCAAAATCCATGGATGTTTCTGAAAATGTAGGGCAACATGGCTCAGTCCCTTTGGGCGGGCAGCCCTCGCTCCTATGTTGTGCTCCTTAATTTATGGGAAGCTGATTGCTTTTAGATAATTACACTAGTACCTGGCAGCCCCATCACCGCTCTTGCCCGACACTGCAGGTGCTGAGTGTGAAATGCAGGAGCTGAGGGCAGAGCTGGCACCTGGCTGAGTGGTGCCTGCCAGGGCCCAAGGTGTGCTGATGCCAGGGCCTTGGGAAGGGGGGCACCAGGACGTGGGACATCAGGATATGGGGGCACCAGGATGCGGGGACATAAGGAAACAGGGGCACAGGGATGCTGGAGCCCTGGAATGTAGGGGCTCTGGAAAGTGGAGGAGCCAGCCCTCGGTACAGCCCGAGGGTCGCGGGGTCACGGAGCATCCCCAGGGGAGCCGGGCGGGCTGTGAGGGAGCGAAGTGTGAGTGAGTGGAGTGTGAGGGAGCGGAGCATCCCCAGGGGAGCCGGGAAGGCTGTGAGGGAGCGGGGTGTGGGGGAGAGGGTTGTGAGGGAGCGGGGTGTGAGGGAGCGGGGCAGCCCCAGGGGAGCCGGGCGGGCTGTGAGGGAGCGGGGTGTGAGGGAGCGGGGTGTGAGGGAGCGGGGCAGCCCCAGGGGAGCCGGGCAGGCTGTGAGGGAGCGGGGTGTGAGGGAGCGGGGTGTGAGGGAGCGGGGTGTGAGGGAGCGGGGCAGCCCCAGGGGAGCCGGGCGGGCTCTGAGGGACTCCCGGACACGCGCGGGGCGCGGGCACACGGCGCGCGGAGAGGGCGCGGTGACGTCACGGTGACATCACACAGGGCCACGCGCCGGCAGCGGCCCCGCCCCCGGGAGGGAGGAGGGAGGGGAGGGAGGGGCGGGATGGAGGGAGGGGAGGGGAGGATGGCGGCGGGGGGGGAGGGAGCGCCGGCGCGGCGCTGAGCTAAGCCGATCCCACGTGTGACGGATCTGGCTGCTGCCCCAGCGCCTCTCCAGTGAGATCCTCCGGTAGCGGAGGGAGGAGGAGGAGGAGGAGGGGGGGGGAAGGGAAAAAAGGGGCACAGCAAGCGGAGCGAACCGAGCCGGAGCCGGGCCGGGGGGGGCGGGTTGGGCGGGCGGGGGGGGTTCTCTCAGGGGCTCTCGCTCGGCGCGGCCATGGAGGCGGACGGGAGCCAGGCTACCTCGGGGAGCCCCGGAGAGGCGCAGCACGACCCCGGGTAAGTCGGCGGGGCGGCGGGGGCGCGGAGCGGGGCGCGGGGGGCGGCGAGGCGGGCCCGCCCCGCTCCGCTCCGCGCCCCTCCGCCCCGCCGGGAGCTGCCCCGTCAAAATGGCCGATCCCGCACCGGCGCTCAACTCCGCTCTGCTCTCTCCCTCCAGCAAGATGTTCATCGGCGGCCTCAGCTGGCAAACCTCACCAGGTAACCCCCCCCGCCGCCCCCTCCCCACGCGCGTCCCGCCCCGCGTGGGCCGCGTCCCGCCGCGCCGGGCCCTGCCCGCGCCCCCCCAGCCCTGACCCTCCTCTCCCTCTCTGCTCTTTCTCCGCAGACAGCCTTAGAGACTATTTTAGCAAATTCGGAGAAATTAGGGAGTGTATGGTCATGCGGGACCCCACCACCAAGCGCTCCAGGTAAAACCGCCGCCCACCCCGCTCGGGTTGACAAAACTTCTCGAGTTGCCGTCGGGGCGGGTGGACCCGCACCCCCCGAAATCCCACCCCAAAACCCCAGCCCCGCATCCCACCCCGCTCGTGGGGCGCTGCGGGAGGGCTCTCCCCGCCCGCATCCCTCCAGCCCGGAGCAGGAAACAAAGCGGCCGGTGGAGCCGGAGCGGGGCCGGGGGTCGCGGCTGCCGCCCCCCACGCCCGCCCCCTGCACCCGCAGGCTTCGGGGAAGGGGGCGGGGGGGACGGCACAGCGGTTTATTTTTATGACTTCTCCCCTTGTCTCTAATTCTCATCACCTCCCTCCCCCCCCCACCCCCATCCCCTCGCTCTTTGTCTCTCGCAGAGGCTTCGGGTTCGTTACGTTCGCGGATCCGGCGAGTGTAGACAAAGTCCTGGCTCAGCCGCACCACGAGCTGGACTCCAAGACGGTAGGTCGTGCTGGGGCTCCGGGCCGCCCTTCCCGGCACGGCGGGGACGCGACCCGGGCGCACCGAGCCCCACTCGGGCCGCTGTCAGGCTGTCATTGAACCGGGACCTTGCATGGCTGGAGGGTTTCCTTTTTATTTTTTCTAGGCTCTGCCTTTAACTTGCAAAAAGCGGCAACTTTCTTTTTTTTTTTTTTTTTTTTCTAAGCCCGAATTCCCCCATACCGACCGCTGGCTCCTCCCCTGGCCTTATATTTTATTGAGCGGTGACATTGAAAAAGCTGAGGAGTAAAATCCAACTTTTTTTTTTTCGGTGTTGGGCTGCAGAATGCTTTCTGCAGGGAACTTTGTGCTTCTTTTGATTGATTATTTATGTATTGGTGCACGCGTTTCAAGGTGGGAGTGACTTACTGTCAAACCGGGAAAGCTGCTGCTTCTCGTGTCATTTCCCAAAGTCATTTTTTTGGAGAGGTCCCCTCACCTGCGATGGCAGGGCCCTTACGAAACGCACGCGTTAATTTATGGGAAGCTCTGCGAGAGGTGGAGAGTGGCTGTGGTAGAGAAGCACAAGTCCTAATGTGTTGTTGTTTCTCCAGAGCTTTTTGCTGTGCTCAGTCTCCAGTGCATAACATAAGGAAAAAAAATGCTCGTGAGATTCAGCTGATCTTTTTTTTTTTTTTTTTTTTAAATGAGCATCACATTTGCTTTAAAAAAAAACAACAAACAAACAAAAAAAACACACCTGAGTTTTCCCCTTGGCCCAGTACGGCATTTTCAGTATTGGGTCAAACAAAAGGTATCGGGCAAGTGCAGCTCTGGCCCCTCTTTTTTCCCTCTGATCAAGGCCATGCAAAAAGATGAAGTTTTGTGCCTCCTAGTTTGTTGTAGTTTCAGCCTCGGCAGACCTGGGAGGGGAGGGGGGAAGGACACTGGTAGAGGTCATCACTGCTCTGGTGCTGCTGGCTCTGGAGTGGGTTGTGTTTTGGGAAGGGAAGGCTCGTGCTGGTGTAACTGCAGAGCTTCTGCTGGACGATCGAGCGTGTTCCTTACTGTAACTGGGTTTTGTAGTCTGTGTTCTGGGGCTTAAAGGTTTTATTTTAACCTGAGCGTGGTGTTAGGAGCAATCCTGTCTCTGTGCTGCAACATCTTGTGGGTGCCTGCGTGTGCGAGATTATAGTTAAATGAAGAACAGGAGGAGCAGGGAGCAAACAGGAGTACCTGATTTTTAAAAAATGCAATTTATATGGAAACAAAAAGCCCAAAGCTCTCTTAGAAGCAGGTGGAATCTAGTGTTTTAATTCGACCTACAGATTCTGCTGGGGCTTGTCTGAGCACGAAGCCCATGCTTTCACATGCCTTAATAATTTGATTTTAGGTTTAATCAGATATGGTAAGATAACTGATTCAACCGTGCTCCTGAGATTAAACTCACCAGACTTTTCATGTACAGCTATATTCTCTATGTGTTTTTAGAGATAAATTTAGATAAGAAGAACAAAGGCAAACGGTATCTTCAACGAGGGTTTTTAAAAAAAAAATAAATCATGAGAGGACACCCTGTCATATTTCTGACTATAATTAGGTCCTCCCCCAGCTTTTTTCCTGTATCACAGTCTAGTCCCTGCAATGTATTAATTTGCTCTTCTCTGGGGGAGAGGTGAAGAGCTTCACCAGGACCAATCTCCCTCAGTTTGGTTGTGTGATAATGATTGAATCAATCCAAATATGAAATTGCCCTTAGAATCAGAAACAAACACAGAGCCAGGCAGGTCCTTTCAGGCGTGTGTTTGTAGAGTATTGTAGTAACTGTTGTGCAGTATAACAAGGCATTTGACTCTGTTTCAACGTTCAGCACAGGAGGCAGATCGGTTGGGTATTGGCATGGAAACGTCGCTCTTGTTTACAGTTACGTTTAAAGCTTTGTTTAGGTAATGGCCATTCATATCAGAAATAGTATTATAGTCATTTCCTAGAGGACTTGTAGATACAGTAAGTAGAATTGTACCTAACTAACTAATTTTTTTGGTAGAACTTTGGTTTTTTTTGGTTTTGTTTTTTTTTATTTTTTTCTTTTTGGTTGTTGTTTAAATAGTTGACAGGGTTATGCAAAAGGTACGGATTTGCCAGGTTCATTGCTAGTGTTCATCTTCAAAGGCTGATGGTGTTTATTCAGAAGGCTTGGGGGAGGAAAATTCAGTTCTTTAAGAAAATCTGTCGCTGTGGTGCAAAGGACTCCATGCTCTTTGAACTGACCTTCAGAATGAAGGTGTTGCTTTGGAGTTTATTGGCTCTCCTAGCTTTTAACCAGAGAGACTTTGCAGTGATGTCCTTCTGGTGGGTCCTTTTTACTTGGGTGAGAAAACTTGTACTCCTGAAACAAACATAGGAATGTGCATATTTGCCTTCACCTTTGGGTGCTGCTGTGGAAAATCCGTACCTGTTGTATTTCCCCAGTAGACAAATGCCTAGCCAGTGCTGAATATATTTGTAGATAATGTTAATCTCTATGAAAAGGTTAGCTTTCTAGAAAAATAATTTTACTTTTTATGCTTTTTGAACAATAAAGTGGCATGTAATCACTCATTTCTCAGGTGTGTCTTAAAACAGATGCTACATTTGTATCTGATGGAGACAAATCAGTTTGTCAGCTGCACATCAAGTGTTTGTGGTATTTCCCATTTTGACAAATTAATTGAGTAAAACTGCTTTTTAGGAGAGGCCCATGGTTATTTAGCAGTGCCAGGAATATTTATCACCATAGGAATAACAGTACCAAATGAAAATGTCTCCCTGTTCCTCGTCAAGGTTAGCTTGAGGGGAGAAAACCCAACAAAAGCCAAACCCAAACTCTGAAAGAAAGCCTCTACTTCTGAATATGCTTAACCATGTTAGTGTCATCAGTTGGTTGTACAGACAACACTGAAAGCAGTCCCAAGTTGCACAGTTCAGGTGGGATTTAGTACTTTAAAACATCCTTTGCAGATTCTTTAGAACATGTCTGTATGCAGGTGCTGCTGAGAACCTGAGGTGAAACCAGCAGCATGGAGGCATTTTACTGCAGTTTAAACTGGGCAGTCGTTAACGTGTTTATTTACATCCAGCCATGCATCTGTGGTGGTGACTTTTTGGGTTTAGGTCATTTTGTCGTGGGAGAGAGGAGTCGCTTTTTAAGGATGACCCGTGTGGAAGTTGTGTGTAGAATTGCAGAAGGAGCGTTTTGGAATTGCAGAGTGGGTGCACTTAGTGATTGATGCGGCACAATGGGAGTCCACGCTGCATCTTAACATCTTAACGCTGCATCTTAATGGAGTGTGGGGTAGACTAAGGAATTTTTTTTTCCCCCTTCCTTTTTGTGTCTGGTGATGTAACTCCTTCATGGAAAACCTTTTCTAGGAGCGTGTTTTCTTCTGGCGTGAGTGCCTCTGTGTTTCGCGTACACGAAACCTGCACGTTTGTGTCTTCCTCTCCTCTCTTCCCCCCCATCCCATAAACGCCCCTTTTTAGTTCTCATTTGCTCTCATGTATTCTTGGAGAGTGAGCAAACCAGCTCAGTTTGGCGTATCATTGTGAAGGAGCATCTAGTCCTTCTGATACTTTGGTTTTAGTAATTGAAGTGTGAATAGTTTGACTTAGGTTTTGACTTTCCTTTTTAGTGTGGCGTTGCTCATCAGTCGACAAAACAAAGCAGAAAAAAACCCTGTGACCCCAAACCCAACTGCAGGAAGGTGCAGGTGTGGAACCTAGCAAGTTAAGATGTTGGTCAGGAATGCTGGCCCTCTTCCTGTGCAACCTCCAGAGCATGCAGATAATCCCTAACACGCAGTTTTGGTGGTAGAGGCAGCACCCAGAGACTAATCCAGAGCTCCCCCAGCATCAATGAGGATCGTTTCCCAGAAGATGATAGGGGTGTGCAGAAGAGATGTTTTCTTCCTCTCTTCCCATCTTCCTCCCCAGAAAAACCCAGTCTGTGACCCATCAGCTCCAGAGTGGTTCTGGGTGACCCGCTGTGCTGAACTACAAGCCTGAGAAATGAGGGATTAATAATTCAGTGATTTAAAACCAAAATACTCTGAAATGACAACCAAAGCTATCTTGTTGATTTCCCCTTTCTTTTTCCTCAGATTGACCCTAAAGTTGCGTTTCCCCGACGAGCACAGCCCAAGGTAAGTAGGAGGATCGATAATAGGATTTTAGGCACACAGAGAGTCATTGTTGCCAGGCAGTTCGGGTTTCAGCCAGGGAATTGGCAATGAAAGCTTTTAAAGCCGGAGTGCTCTGCGTCCGAGGGGGATCGGGGAGTGGCTGTGGCACAGGGGAGGGCTCTGTGCCCCGGTGTGTGATGGTGTCCGTGCACAGCTGGGTGGTCGGTGCGGCCCAAGGGCAGAGCCGGTCCCGGATCCGTCGGGATTCGCCGGCACAGCCCCGTGTCCGTGTGGCTGCTCTACACAATGTCTTCTGCATGGTGTTTATGGAGGGTGTTTGGATTAAGTGCAGACTTCGGGCTTGTTTTGAGCTGAGCTTTCAGTTCTGTGGTTGTAATGGATGGGAATATATCTCTGCCTTCATTGTTTGCAAATTGTCTTTTGTATAACTTGAGATGTGTGTGCAGACGAGTAAGCGTTGGGTAGCAAGTTCGTGATGAGGCCCTGAGCTCCTGGGGCCACAGGGTATTCTTTTGCGAGAGCAGAGGGACAATGAGGTCTGAGTGTCCAGCTGGTCAGGCTGCAGCAGTGGCCTGGCCGTGGTGTGACCAGTCTCCACAGAAGGACAGGGACAGGCAGAGACGCTCCTGCTCGTGTGCTGCCTCCCAAACCACTGCGTGCCACTGCTCCTGGAGTCGCTGCTCCTGGAGTCGCTGCTCCTGGAATAGAAGTGGTTGTTGCCCTTTAGGCTGTGCCTAATGAAAACAAATCAGTTTCAAATCCAAACGTGCAGCGTGTGAATTTTGAAAACCAGGGGCTGACAGAAAACTTTTGTCTTTGTCTTTTTGTTTGTTTTTGAGAGTCTGTTGGAAAAACTTAATTCAGCTGGTGTGTGGCACTTGTATACGCTCTAGTCATCTTGGGTTATTTCAGCCTTCTGATTAAAAAAAATGGAAAGGCAAGGCTGCAGATTTGTGGATTCAAGTCAACAAGGAAAAGTGATCTAAAGCTGGTGGGAATGAGTTCTTAAAAAAAAAACCAAAACAAAACAGAGAGCAAACCCCAACAGCCTACTCGCAGAATTTTAAACCAGACTAATGTAGTCAAATGTTTAGAGGTTCTTTTCTTCCTAGGACATATCTAATAACTAATTGGTAAATAATGGTGTGCCTGGCTTGTTTCTGCGCTGAGCAGAGTTTATAGTGTGTGGGGCTTGTGGCTTCTGGATTATGTTGTTGGATTGATTCTGTCCATAAGATGCGATGTAAAGTTACCAGAATTTTGATCTTGTGCAGTGACTGATGTTCCTTTCCCCCTTCCCAATACCTTTTAAAGGCTTATTTACATTTTAAACTGTCTTCAATTACCAGTTATCTGTTTCTACAGTGTTATTTGGAGAAGTTTATAAAGCTTACAACAGAGCTGTTAAGCTGTCCCATGTGATTCTTCTCTAACAATTAAAAAAACCAGGGCATGTCTTACGTGGGAGATATTAGCGAGTTAAATTTTTGGGTTAAAGAATGCAAAATCAGGTTGTTTTTACAAAGGAGATTTTGTTTTCCTCCACATAAGGTGGTTTTTTTCCCCTTGGTTTTTGGTAGCAGACATCTTTATCTTTTGAGTGTGGGGCAAATGCTGTAGGCTGGATTCCACTCCAAGCAGGATCTTGCTCTCTCTGGAAAGGTCAGCAGTGTCTGTTGCTGCTTTTTACACACTTGTCCTTTCTAAGTGTCGGGATGTCTATGGGGCATTTGAAAAAAATCTGAAGATTGAAAACAGCCCTATTTGGAATCTGGAGAAAAGCAGATGCAATAAAGAACAGATTTTACATCTATTATGACGTATCATTCTGGCCAGCATTTCATAATCTGGATATTTTGGTTTTTTTGTTTTTTAATTAGATACTGAATTAAGGTTTTGGACTTTAGCTGTTCATTTATCCCAGTTGAATAGCAAATGCTCAGCGTTAAAATGTGACTGTACTTTAGTCTAATTAACTAGCTAATGCTTGGGTCTGTGGAGATTAATGGCATTTAATGAAATGTCTCTGTCTCTCTCTATGTGCAAGGGGAGAATTCGTTTGGGTCTTTTTCTT